TCATTTTTCAAAATGGATTTTCCACTTAATAACGCGCGTAGTAATTTTCACAGTTTTGCAGATAAAAGTTTTCATTTTTCAAAGGATAGAAATTAGAAAGTTCCTTAAAATTAACGCGCGTTACGCAGTCCAAAACAGTCGCAGATCATTCGCAAGATTATTTTAAAATACGGTGCACCGATAAAAGTCATTAGCGATAACGGAAACAATTCATTAGTCAAATATTTGAAAACATATGCAATGGACTTGGCATACGCCATATCAAAATGGTTCGTATAGACCACAGGCTAACATAGCAGAAAGAGTTTAATAAAAACATTGTAAAAATAATTCGCAGTTACGTTAGCACACATCACAAGTGCTGGGATGGCTCATAAATGATAAATGAATTAGCTTATGCTTTAAGAACGGCACATCATGATACTACGGGAAAAACTCCAGCAGAATTTTTTAGGCAGAAAGTTAATTACGCCTTTGGATAAATTATTCTTTGTGCAACAAAGAGAGCAGGAGTTTAAACAACAAGATGTCCAAAAGCTCACTGATCAGGCGCTTAAAACCTCGGATACGGCAAGAAATAGACAGAAAATTTATTATGATAGAAAACGCCGTGAAGCAGATTTTAAAGTTGGGGATAAAGTATTGAAGCGGAAATTTTTCTTTATCAAGTGCCCCAGACAATTTTATGGCAAAGCTAGCTCCAAAGTTTGAAGGCCCCTATGTAATTCAGGAATCAAAGGGGTAGTATTATATCTTAAGAACGACAGAGGGGAAATCTGTAAAGCAAGTCCTGACCAGGTGAAAAAATACTATAATCCAAATGATTTTGAAATCCTTAAAAGTTTCTTGCAGGACTCTAAGTCTAAACGAAATAGAAGGGCCAGAGACTACAACAACTATTCCACCACCCAAGAAACAGAGAACTGAAGAGAGACCTAGCACTTCTACAACCCGGACGTCGGTATCAAAAAGAAAAAATGATTTTCAAACTCCGGCGTTTAAGAAAAACAAAAATACAGATGAACCGGGTAAAGAAACCGTGGTAAAGAGAAAAACACCACCTACAAAGGATAGCAGGAGAAATTACACATCAAGGAGAACGCGCACACGGCCACAGAGTCAGGTGCCAGCAAGGCCGCCGTTCCGGAAACTGAAACGCCAGCAGGAGGCACAACAATTACGATGAACAGAAGAAATTCAAGAAGGACTCCAGACCGGAGGACGTCAAGACCAGCCGTCCCAGGGGAGAAACGCAAAGGCCAACAACCAGACGATTACTCCGTCAAGAGGCCAGCATGTAGAGGACGCAAAAGAAAAAGCAACGTGGACGACACTCGGAGATCAATAAGGAGAAGATTGACATCCATGAAACCTCTAACTTGGGATCAATTTTGCCAAAAACGGATGACGGAGTTTCAAGCATCGAAAACTCAAAGATAAGTTAAAACCTTCTATAATTTTTTTCTCTTTTGTTCCGAAATGTTATGCATAAGTACGAAGTTCTATGTTTTGACGAAAGTCAATATGTCTCGGTTGAGACTTAGTTTTGTTGTTTTACTTTATTTAGCTAAGGCAAAAGTATTATTTTTCTTTAAGTGTAAAAGCTAAAAACAAGCATTTTCTGTTGGTCGAAAGACTAATTCTGTTATGTTAAAGCCAAAATTTGGCCGAAGTAAAAATAACTTCATATTCTTGTATTAATAAGAATTTTACTTTCAGTGCCGCCAGCTTGGCGAAGAATGAGTAAAGTAAAAATTTATTTTCTCTATTATCATTTTATGGTAAATTGTAAAAAGCATATTAAAATTTTGTAAATGTACGTAAATCCTTGAAGGTTATGTAAAAGTAGAATTTAGTCTAGAAGCATAAAATTGTAGATGCTAAAAGTGAATGCTTAAAAGCAATGAAGTCAAAATTTAAGTAGTAAATTGTAGATAATATCATGCTTTAGAACGAAAGCCTGCATGTTTAAAGATGAATGAGGGGGAAGTTAGAATGAATGTGTTTTGTAGGGTTCTCCACCTACATTTGAATTTTTAAGACTATTAAAGTAGCTCATTGAGTTGTAGAATGTCGAGAAAGGGTGTTGTCTATTTGGTCGTTGAAATTCTAACAAATCATGGTGGTTAGGGGAAGTGTTGTAAGACTAAAACACGAATATTCCCGTTTGACACACACACACGGTGGAGAGCCAGGGTAAAAGTTAAATTAATGCTTGAAAAATTGAATGAATGTGAAGTAAGCAATAACTAAGAAAAACGAATCGTTTAAAAACAAAAATTTATTGTGTCAAGAAAGTGTAAATTATAATGTATGTAGAAAGATACTGATACTTATTCCTTCCAGACGCTGGAAGGAAAGACCAAGATTGATTGATGAAGTCCAGGAAAAGTTGCTGTAAGAAGAAAGCTTTGTAACGAGCAACAGAATTTTAGTATAATTGTTACATAAGATTTTTTTTTTTTTTGTGTAAACGAGGTTCTCGCCAGTTAGTTCAGAATTAGATAAACTTACAACAGGTCATTTGTAGGACCTGCTTCCAAGTTTTCCAAATTCTGGCAGCGGCAAATGTAGGGTTTATATTTATTTTTAACTAACATTTATTTTAAGTTTAAACTATCTTTCCTGTCAAGCCTTACTTTCCCCTGGAACTGCCAATGCCAGAATATGTAAATTTTAGTAGAACGCGCAAGCATTCAAATTATCAGCGGAAGTATTCTGATTTAAATAGAAGGAAACGAGTTCGGTGTGATATTCTTACTTAGCGAGCGCGGAGGTAGCTAGTGAGAGAATTGAAGAAACCCTGCATTGCGGCCTATGTGCTTGGCGGGAAGGGAAAAGTAGTGGTAATCGTTCCAGTGAGCTTCAAGTCTGCTGAATTAGCAGCGGTATTGTAAAACACGGTGAGTTAGTTATTTTAGAGAGCCTCGTAGTTAGAATCTTGTCTTTACTTTCTTTTCAGGTTATTATTTTTATTTGACTGCCTAGTTGGCACAGTCTGTAAGCGTCAAGAGAACGCAATTGTAATTTATTACGTTGAATAAAAAAAGGACTTAAACCCTTCACAAGGCTCTATCTTTTATACAAGTTTTCACAGTCACCTCTTGGTTGCGTGCAAGTTGGAGGCGCGCAACGTTATAATCTTAATGCACCCTCCACTGGGACATTGGTGAATAATGATTTTACATCAAAAGAAACCATGAGTAAATTACGAGGAGAAATGTTTTTAACCTTTTTTACAAATTCTATTGAATTTTTTATGGTGTAAATGTTATTGTCTAATAGAGTGGAAAATCTAGAAACTAAATATTTAGCTAATGGATACGAGGCGGTACCTAAATTTGATACAATAGGGCGGAAAGGAATACCACTTTTATGAATTTTGGGAAGAGCATATAATCTGGCACAATTCGCAACAGATGGGATAAGCGAATGTTTTAAGTTGCTTGAAATGATTTGCGAAGATTTGATCGCAGTTTTTATTTTGGATAAGTCCGAAGGTGAAGGATCTTTAGGGATTGGATTATATGGTCCTTCGTTTAAGAGTTTAGTGACACCATCGATGTAAGTGTTCTTATCCATGACGACTATCTGGCCACCTTTGTTGGCCTTTGAAATGACAATATCCGGGTTAGAATGAATGTTTAATTTACATTGGCCAAACTAAGCCTTAAAATTTCGCGTCAAAGAACATGAGGCATATGTTAGAAAAAAGGAAACACAGAAGTCTCCTGTTCATCAACATTGTTGGTCCAAAAATCACACTTTCATATTTTCTGCTGCCAAAATTATTCAAAAAACATCTTCCATTGGAGAACTGGATTTTCTAGAGGCATTTCACATTCATAAAAATCTTTCTGTTCTAGTTAACGATCCTAATTCCAATCCAAATTTGCTTTCGGCTTATAGAGAAATTATGTTTTAGTTCTGGTTTCGCCAACAGATGGCGCCACTTGCTTATTCTTGTCCAGGCTTTCTTATCTTATCTAAACATTATTTCCTATCTTGTTCATTTGTGGTTTTGCAGCTGAAGATGATGGTTCGGTAAAACCATCGAAACTAGTCCTGTGAAAATTTTGTAAATTAACGCTGATTTTTGTTGTTTGACTTCTGAATTAGTATTTATTCGGCGTGTTATTGTGTCTTAATTACATAATCTCAGTAAACTACATTTTAAACCAAAAAATAAAATAACATAAAAAAGGAAAAACCAAAACCTCTTATGCATCTAAGCACTACATAAAGCAAATATCCACTTACCTTATTTAGAAATTTCTTCGTCTTCAGTCTGTGGCACAAAATTCCTTAACAGCATCCAAAAATTTCTTTAAATTATCTGAACTTGAATCCGCATATCGGCGTCACTGTATAAATTCATAAAAATAACAGTAAAAAATATCCTCCGTAGTTCCGGACTGTCCGGAAAATGGCTACTAAGTTAACCTTCATTTACACACCAGTCAATTAATGCTCTTTTCCTCTTTCATTCCAAATCGTACAGAAACTTCAAATTAATCTTACTACATTCAGCCATTCTACCGTCTAAACAAAAAACAAGCAATGTACTTCCCAACCAACACACTGCAAAAGCCCTTACAAAACATCTGCAATTCAAAATTTACCAGAATCATGCAACTGATTATGACATAATAGGGTTTCCGTAACATTCAAGTACTCAAATTACCATAAATGAAACAACAACTTGGCGATAAATCAACTTCGTGATAGTACAAGGGGTACCCTTCAATCTACTCTAACCAAAATTTGACTACAGAAAAATTATTGAACCTTGTAACGAAATAGTTATAAATTTTGGACAACTTTTCAACCATTAGAAAACTTCAATGAATTATCGAGTATCAAACAGAAAATATGTAAAATTTAATTCAGTATCAATTACTATATATATATATATATATATCATATATAACATTTTACATGACACTACAATTTATACTTCAATAACATTTCTTGAACCATATGATAGAAAATGAATATACCTGTTAACTAAAGCTATTGCAGATGAAAGTGTAACTTTTGCACATCCATCTTCTTTAACTGGCATGTATGGCTCAATCAGCTCATCAACATTACTCTCCAGTACAGGATCTTCCATACCATGATCTGATTTATGACACTTTATTAAAAGCAGCTATAAAAAGTTAAAAAGAAATTTCATTAGTTAGAATGTTTAAAACTGCACACTCTACAAGCAGATATGTAATACAGATTATTTTTGGCAAATATGTAATATAGATTCTTTTTAGCACTTTTTTTTTTTTTTTTTTTTTTTTTTTTTTTACCAAATAAGAAAAGAAATTCTATTACAGAAAAACTCAGACTTACTATGAGAAAAATTAATAACATAAAATTTAGTAAAATAATTAATATCATCAAATTTAGCTGTCTTTCACTATACATATATGGCTATGCATCATGAACTTGGCGACAATCGACAAGTTGTTCCGTTAAATTTTATCTTGCTTCTATCACACAGAGACAATTAAGCTTGTATTGTATTAGTTTAGTTATTTATTATACTTATGTCTATTTCTTACACAGGCTTATCAGAGTTCTGAATAAATAAATTTCCACAAATACCTTATTGAGTGCCAACGCTACACATCTTACTGCCTGATGCAGTCTCTGTGGGTCCTAAATTCTGCGACTATGTGTCGCCTCACGAGTCCTGGCACTGTTTCTGGGTTTATGTGAATAACAAATCAGTTATTCTTAATTCAAATAGTCCTAAATGTAATCTTTGGATCTATGAGTATCATCAACAAAATCTATTTTTAGCATATGGAAAGAAATTTTTATTAAATTTTCCTCCAAAAATTGTTTAGCATTTAACTTAAATCCGTTTCGCCAAGCGTTGTCAACATAGATGGTTACCATAACCTTTATAAAAAAAAAAATTGTTTAGGCATCACTACATGAGTCATTACTTAAGTTCTCATGTTTTGATAAACGTGCAGTGATGAAAGGAAAGTATAATAAATAATGATTTGCCAGGTTGGCATCAGATCAACAGTGTATGTATGTGGAATGTTTCGGTTTGAAATGTGTGCCAAACAGATACGCAGCAACGGAGACAAATTAATGATCATACAAATTTATACTAAAATGATTGTTTCTTCGATAACAAAGTATTTCATTTAGAGTCGAAGTAAAATAAAGAATCGGGACTCTTCAGATGTTTTCTTATATGCGGAGGGAGGAATCAAATACTCATGCGCAAAGACGAGAAAAACATTGTTGGTGGTTTTGAGGTTTGGATTTTAGATCATTCCGGATTTTGTACTGTATTCTATTGTTGCTGCTTAAATGATTGAAATATGAAGGCATACGAAAATGAATGTATTGAAATATGAAAGTACAGATATAAGCTTTTAGAACAGGGATGTCAAACTCATAAAAAAAAGTTTCTCTCATAAAAAAAAAAGCTCATAAAACTCACAAAAAACTCATTAAAAAAAAAGCTCTTCAAAGTTTTTTGATGATGAAACTCCAAAAATTCATAAATTTTGATTTCTTAAATGTTTTAAAATGCTCATAAAATGGAGATTTATTTTAATAAACCATTTAGTAGCTTATCAAACACTGATTTTTCACTATAACATTGCTTCATATTTTATTCAAGTTTCATATTCAGGAAAAGGGTGACATTTGACAAACATTACATGACTTATCATGACAAACATTTTAATTTTAATAATAAACATTAAGGGCAGCATTTGTGTCAGCTTCACTGTACAAGAGTAATTCATAAAGCTGATATAATTATGAATCTAAGAACTCAGTTAGTATTTTAATAGAAAGGCACCTTAATAATTATTTCATAAGCCCATTCTGTATTCATTCAAGCTGAAAGATGAATTTAACACTTTTCAATTAAAACTCATTTATTTATTTGTCTTGCTATGATTATTATTAAAAAATGAAAAATATCAAAAAACATAGCAAAATGTTTAAACTGAAGGTAAACTAAAATTGATATGCTTAAGAATTTTAGGTTAGAGTAGATTTAAGTGTGCCCCTTGGACTATTGCTAAGTAGTTTTTTTCATTCATGGTAACCTGAGTAGTTGAATGCTATGGAAAACTATACTATGATGCAATTGGTTGCATAATTGCAGTGAATTTAAATGATGGGAAAAGATTTGGAAAAGCTTGTTTGTGTGCAGGACTTTGGATAAGAAGTATGCTGTTATTTTGTGGTTTACACAGTAAAAAGACTGAATGTGGTAAGATTAATTTGAAGTTTCTGTACGATTTGGAACAAAAGGGAAAAAAGCATTAATTGACTGGTATGTAAATGAAGGTTTATTTAGTAACTATTATAAGTATCATGTTTGTAGAAAGGAAATGTGTATGGTCGAATGTCAGAGGATAGAGGCACTATGGAGGATAATTTTGTGAATTTATGTGGTGACACCAGTATACAGATTCCAGTTCAGATAATTTCCGGAAGTTTTTGGATGCTGTTAAGGAATTTGGTTTGACTAAAGACAAGTAAATTTGTAAATTAAGGTAACTAGATATTTCCTTTGTGTAGTGCTAAGCGTTTTTTATATTATTCCATTGTTTGATTTAAAATGTAGTTTATTGAGATTATATATTTTTTGTTTGCTGCTCCTTTGGTCTTTTAAGTGAATATAGATTGATGTGTACATGGACAAAGTCAAGGGAGTGTGCTATGCCTCCCTTGATTTTGCGCCAAAAATCGCCGCTAAACAAAGACAAAATAACAAGTCAAAGAGCTGCACAAACTCGGTGTCCATATACCACCAAAAATCACCAAGCGGCACCCGTAACTATATTTTTTCTGAATTTCGTTTTTGGTACATTTCTATTTGGAGTAGGGACACTTTATTAGAGAGCAAATTTAATTAAATTATACAACTCTTTTTAATCCACATAAATTCACTTCAATTCAGAATGTTTAACAATAATCTGCACCTCTTAAATAAGAATGTTTAAATGGCTATTTATCACAAAAAAATAAAAAAAATATTGTTTTTAAAAGCCTTTAAGTTTTCCTCATTTTCTTTGAATAATTTTCAACTAATTAGTTATAATCATAAAATAAAATGAAAACAATAGAACATTTAACTGCATGAAAAATGAAACTGCATCTTTTGTGTCATGGATGTTAAACCTAATTAATCTGAATGGCACAAAATTATACAAAGAACTGCATATTAAAAAGAATTTCTTTGGCTGTATAGTTTAACACACAAAATTATACAAAGAACTGCATATTAAAAAGAATTTCTTTGGCTGTATAGTTTAACACTTAAAATCTGAAAAGGGTTCAGATTTTAACATAATACCAGAAGATTTGTTAAGGTTTTTTTTTTTTTTTTTTATGATCTCGCTAAAATCACAGTTTTCCAATCTGCTCTTAGATTCACTCTTGCTAACACAACTTTCTGCTTTTTTTATTTTTTGTATTAAACATCACCTTCTTTGCACTTAGCCACATAAAACTCAAAAGCAAATTTACAAAATTTTTAAAAACAGCATATTCTTAGAATTCATGGTACAGTGTTAGTGCTGCAATACATTTTTTAGCCCTGAAAAGGCTATTAATCTTGAACCTCACTTTAGAGTCAAATCACTTTTGTTGCCCATTTCACTTTTCCAACACCTTGTCACTGGCACAGCTACCCACTTGAATTTGTTACTATAAAAAAGAAAATATATATAATGCTTTTAATAAATCCAGCTAGTATAATTGCATGGATCCAGTTAGTAATTAATAAAATAAAGAACCGTGTTTATTACTTTTAAATCTCTTAATTTGTTAACAAATAAGATTAAGTTTACAAAAAATTAAATACCTTACACTCTGCCAAATAGCAACAAGCTGGTGCATGGAAGATAAAAATATTTTATATCAGAGAGTGGCAAGACATTTCCTTTACATCGCTGAGCCCTTTTATTGAATGTGAAAGACAAATACCTTATGTTTTGCTGAGTAGCAACACATTTGAAAAATGATACAGATAAAAAAAGCGAGGTTTGAGACTAATAGCACTTCTGATGTTAAAACATGAAAAATACATTACTTACGAGAGAGAAGTAGAAAATTCTGAATTTCTTTAATTGCTTATTAAATAGAGGAAAAGCATTATTACTTGTGATTAACAAATTACTAAAAATGCACGTTGTATCAATATTGAATGAACAGTAAATCCTGTCTTGCCAAGAATCATTGCTGTAAGCACTATAGCTTCACTGAAACACAAATCACTTTCCAATAGTTTTCATTCCATGAAATATTATAAACATTACAAACATAAGGTCAAATGTTCCCTTTCATTTTGGGTAAATTCATACTTGTGAATTTTACTTTGGCAAAAACATGTCACTATGCATTGAAACGCTAGTTTAATATGCACTAAAAAAAGATCAAGTCATTAACCCTTTCGCTGCCCTCTCCTGTCTGCGAAAATTTCTTCCCAGCAGCCCTCTGTTCTTCGCAGCGTGTAATGTTGTTTTCTCTGTACATACATAACTTTCGTAGTGGATGAATGTAAATGAATATTAAGTAAAATTATAAGGAAATAAAGCATAATGGAAAAGTAATAATATCTCTGCTTATTTCTAGCAACAGGATAATTTGATAACATCTAGTCCAGGAGGTCCACTCCTTCCATTTTGTTGATGTAATCTTTTACAATTATTGGTTTTTTTACAGTTCTTTTCCATGTTTCAACATCAATCATTGAGTTATTATGGACTGTACTCATCAAACATATATCCTTCTTGTCTATCCAATTCACAACCTCATTTTTTCTCTTTTTCTGTTGAGTAGATGTTGAAGCCATCTTTCACTGTCTTGTATCTTATGTATAATGGCGTGAATATTCATAAAACCCAGGGGAAATTCAATTAAAAATAGAATGCCTGATTAGTGCTGCCCTCTAGGAAGTATTAAAACAAACAAAAATAAACACTCAAACAAGTAAAAATTTAGAAAGCATTTTAAACGGTTAAAAGTTTTTAAATGTAGAAGAATGCTTGAAGCACATTACGGCCACCCTGCAGAAGTTTCACTTGAATGCGCTAGACGCGTTATGGACTTTAAAGAGGTTAAAAAAGTCAATTTAATTAAACTCCTGCATTTAACAAGTGGAGTAAATAC